GAAAAGGGAGATAATGTAAGTTATGTCGTACATATCACAATAATTGAAAATGGCTAATATAAATCAATGTTTTTTTTATCATTAAAACACATATTGTTGTGGTAATTGTCCTAATGATGAGAGAAATGTTGTATTTTTTATTGTGTCTTGCTTTGTGTTTGAATATTATGTGCAAATTAATAAAATAAATATGTTTGTTAATCCTTTTTTTCTTCTCTGTCAAGATATACCCGGTAAAAGACAAATCCCATGACAGAAAACGTTTGGCACTGCTTATCAACAATGTAGAATTTAAAAACTTAGATGACAGGAGTGGGGCAGACAAAGATGAACTGAGTATGGAAGTGCTGCTTAAAGGCCTGGGTTACACTGTGATCACACTCAGGGACCTCAGTGCACAGGTGCATTCAAGTGTATTTAAGCCAAAGTAGCCAACTTTTTTTTTTTTGATATTTGATCTTGATGGTCTGATGTTCAGGGTATGCTTGCTGCCATACGAGACTTCGCCCAGCGAGAGGAACACACTGAATCGGACAGCTGCTTTGTGGTGTTGATGTCCCATGGAGATGCCAGTGGAATCTGTGGGGTTTTTGACTCTATCGACAACGAAGATGAAGAGGACATTTTTCCAACAGATGACATTTTTAATTGCTTGAACACTCCGAACTGTGCTGGATTGCGGGACAAGCCAAAAATCATCCTTATCCAGGCGTGTAGGGGTGGTGAGTTACAAAATGCTATTTTAGAAAAAAAAAAAGGTTGTTAAACTCTACTATTTAAAATGTTGCCATATTTGATTGGTTAGAGCCTCATCCATTTCTAGCAACATGCTTTGGCAAATTTTGCCCTAATGTTACAGATAAAGAAGGCAGTGTGGATGTCCAGGATGCTGTGTCAAGACGCAACAGAGGAAAAGAGCACCGTGAAAAAGACTTCTGCTGCCTGAGATCCTGTACTCCAGGTAAATATTTCCTTACATTATTCCGCTCCATTTACTATAATATTACATGAAACACACAAAAAAAAATTTCTTGGAGTGACATACAGTGCATGGGACATACATGGGATAGTTGACCCAAAAATTAAAATTCTGTCATCATTTACTCACCCTCAAGTTCCAAATCTGTTTGAGTTTCATTCTTCTACTATGAAAAAGACTTCTGCTGCCTGAGATCCTGTACTCCAGGTAAATATTTCCTTACATTATTCCGCTCCATTTACTATAATATTACATGAAACACACAAAAAAAAATTTCTTGGAGTGACATACAGTGCATGGGACATACATGGGATAGTTGACCCCAAAATTAAGATTCTGTCATCATTTACTCACCCTCAAGTTCCAAATCTGTTTGAGTTTCATTCTTCTACTAACAGAAAATAATAATTGGAGAATTGAACAGAACTGAACAGTTGCTGTTTCCCATTAGCTTCCATAGTATGGGGAAAAAATATTGAAGTCAATGGGAACCAGAAACTGTTTGGTTACCCACATTTTTCTTCTTTTGTGTTCAGCAGTAGAAAAAAAAAATCATACAGGTTTGGAATGACACGAGGGTGTGTAAATGATGACAGGATTTTCATTTCTGGGTAAACTGTCTCTTTAATGCTGACTACTGGATATACTGTATTGTTTTAAAAATGTGTTAAAACTACGTGCTATTTGATTTGCATCTAAGTGATGGTGTTCTGTCAAACAATGTATGTCCTAATTTGTATTCTCTATACAGATACTGTATCCTACAGAAACAAAGAGAATGGCTCACATTTCATCCAAGACATTGTGGAAATATTTAATCAGCATGCCCACCAGGACGACATCGAGGAACTCTTCAGAAAGGCAAAGTCACATTCTTTAGCAAGACAGACATCAATCTGTAGACATCAATGCCGATATGTGGTTTTTTGATGGTTGATTGAATGGTTGATGTTTACTTCCTTGTTATTCCTTGTCAGTGATATTGCATGTCAGTAACAATAACTAACCAGCCAAATACCAAATACCAAGAGGTCTAGAATAAAGAAAGTTTTTTTTTTTTTTTTTAGTTGAACATTTGAGGTTATGTGTGGTTGGTTATGTTGTAATATTTATTTTTATTTTTGAAACAGGTCCTTGAGAAGTTTAAGATGACACATCCAGATCAAATGCCATGCAAAGAAAGAACAACATTATCTAAGAGATTCTACCTCTTCCCTGGGCTGTAAGACACAACTTCTAACATCCTTATTTTAGAAACATGATTTATGCATCTTTTTATTGTCATCTCAGGAGTTCATATTTGAAGAAAACAAGAATGTATTGACATTTTAATGAGTTTGTGTGCTCGTATAATCCTTGATTATGAAAGTAAACAGATTTAGCTTGTTGTCCATCTTGAAACTTGACTTGAGCACCCCCCACTAATCCAGAATACTTTACAAATAATGTTAAAAATAATTGATTGAAGGATTGATAAAATTATATTAACTAGCTCTATAAATGTACACTTAAGTAAATTTCTCCATGTTAAAACTGTACTATTTTCCTACGATTTATTTGAAAATAGAGGACAACAGATATTGAAATATTATGTATGAAATATTATGACCATCAGGAAAATCAAGAAAGTAAGCAACTGGATGTACTGTTTGAACATACTGTATTTAACTTCAACATACTGTATTAAACTTTTATTAATTTTATTTACTGCTTTGTTCAGTTTCTTTTTAATTATAAATTAATTCTGAAAAGTTTACATGACAAATTACATAATTTATGTTGACCTGTTGGTTTGCTAGATCTGCTGACCTAGATTGCAGATATCATTTCTTGTAACCACTCAGCTGTAAAGTTGGATTTCCTGTATTATGAAACAGAAACCAGCTACACTGTAATCCCTGAAAGATACGTTTGTTGCAGTAAACCTGGGAGGCTGTGTTATCTGTCTTTGAATTTACACAGATGGAATGAGGCTTTGAGGCATGCTACACTTTAGTTAATAAATGAACAGTTTTTCTCAAATATACCATTAGACGCACCTGAAAGGGTTTGTCTCAGCTCACTTAACATTTGCTGGTTTAATGGTCTTTTGTAATACATTTTTATGAAATGATACATAAAATAAAGTGGATGGACTTGGATATTAGCTAGACAGACATATGATTTATTTGTGAATTATTGCTATGAAAAAATACGGTATAGAATATTCACAGTAGACATGTGGAATAATATGTCCACAACCAAAACCATACATTTCTCCCCCTGACTGAGGGAGAATAACTTAAAACAATAAGACAGAATACATAACCATTTGTTAAGAAAAAAAAGAAAAAAGAAAAAAGTTTAGAGCTTTTTGTCTGACAAAATTAAAGGTGTTGTGTCTCCACAACAATAAAAGAGTTCTTCTCTAAGAGGAAAAATACCACAGTGTTTTTCCGATTTACGAAATAATCATTTTTGGGGCCTGTTCTTAATGATTCACTTTGAAGTGAGTAACACGTTGGAATTAGTAGCTAATGCAACAGCTGACATTCAGTTCCTGTTCGACGAAAATAATGATGTAGCTACTTAAGCATTTAACTAATTTATTTAGAATCTGCAGTGACTCATTATTTTTAACCGGTTCATTGAAATGAACTGTCCGAACGAGCCGATTTGTTTAAACGAACAGGATTTCTCAATGTTGTTCGTTATATTCTATGTGCAGGTGTTGTTGCCGTGGTAATAAGCATTTTTCCTTTGAGTTCAAGAAATACAATGTGTAATAAGGAAAGCTGTTTTGGAAATCTGTCTATACGTGCTTTGGTGAAATGCCTCTATAATCTGGACTTGTCTGTGGCACTAAATGCACCTCTCATTATCATCCTTGATAAATTGTGAGAAATTGGCCTACTACAAGGTTGAATTAGTAAATAAATTAGGTCTAAGACATATTAAATATTTTAGGTCTAAAACATACGATAATTTCATTTAGATGCTTGAGGATTCAAATGCAAATACATGCAAATTACAGCCGTTTAATTGGCTGCGCTCGCCTAGAATTCGTTCCTAGTTTCCAGTCTTGTTCGTCCACGTTTCCAGTCGTGCTGTGATAGATTGAATGTCATCCAGCCGTTGATGTCTTCTTTCTTTGGATGACGATTTACTATTAAGCGACCGAGTCAATCACTAAAGGGTAAGTAGGCTATATAAGTATAGAACATGATTCATTTGATTAGACTTGATTCTGATCCCATAGATTAGTCATGGAAAAATTTTACATGGAGGTAAATTGACTCACTGAATTGTGAAGACAATTTAGTAACGGTTTTACGAACTATTTAGCCTACACAAAGCTGTCTTGAATGTGGACCTTTATGCATTTTAATTGTGGTGAAAAGAAAAGTGATAAATATGTTACATAGGCTTTGATTCCTGATTTGTGTAGGCTATATGCTACAAACCTGAAAATCAGGTTTGACTATTGGATAAAGCGAAACTGATACACACCCAAATACTCGCCACCAAGAGGTAGAATTCATCAGACACATCTTTACCACTATTAATAAATAAATAATTCGTTGTCTAAAACGATCTAAAATATTTACCAGTGAGACTCAATACACTGTGAAATTGTTTTGTTAAATTTATGGGAAAACCAAAAATGGTTGTTAGATTTTTAACCATAAAAAAACAACAACATTATAGCCATAGGATGACATTTTGGTGACTATATATTTCACAGTTGCTATGAATGTCATTAAATAATGTAATGTTAATATACTAATCTATTTAAGATATTTTTTGAATATTTAATATGCATATTTACTGTAGCATTTGTCTGTTCTTTACAGTTTTTACATAGGTGTACAGTTTTGAAATTCTTGAGCTCATGGAAAGTTTGTAACTTGTAAAGTGTTCAAGCAAATATTTGTTGAATATGTTTTTATTTCACTATTTCTAGTTGTCTGCTAAATTCATTTACTGTATTTGTGTATGATTTTAGCTGTAAAGCCATGGCATCCTCCAGCGTTGTGTCTGAAAAAAGCCTCACATGTTCCATATGTCTGGACGTGTTCACTGACCCTGTAACCACTTCCTGTGGGCACAACTTCTGTATGGTCTGCATCAGAAGCCATAGAGACTGCAGTCCGTGCACAAGGTGCCCACTCTGTGGGAAGGCATTCGACTCAAAACAAGATTTTAACATAAACAGAACCATTAAAGAATTTGCAGAAGGCATCAAAAGGAAAAGAATCCAGGAGAAGGCTGAAGTGTCATGTGATAGTTGCCCAAAGAAGAAAATGCGGACTGCTATTAAGTCATGCTTACACTGTGGAACCTCTTTCTGCGAGTCTCACTTGGAGCCCCATAAAACGGCAGAAAAACTCATGAAACACAAACTAATTAACCCTGTGAAGAATCTTGAGGAATACATTTGCAAGAATCATGAAAGACCTCTGGATCTTTACTGTAAAGATGATCAGACAGCTATCTGTCAATTCTGCATCGAGAGTGACCACAGGAATCATAACACTGTTCCTCTGGAGACGGAGAGTTTGGTAATTATATCTAACATACTTAAGTCATTAATCTAGTCACTAATAGCAACTATGAAAATATACTGAATACTTTCCAACATTATAAACATTAACAACGTTTGTATGCTGATGCTATACTACAGCCTACTGTACATTTCTTTATTTCCACAGAAATTGCTGATGAATAAAAAGATTGCAGTGCAGCAGGAAATTCAGGAGAAGTTGCGGAAGAGTAAAGAAATTAAACATTCTGCAAGGTTTAACAAAGTAAGTGGCATTGATTTTATTAATAGAATTTTATTTCTGAAGAAATAATTATGCAGGGCTTTTATAGTGCTTGATCATTTAGTGCTTTGACAATGTTGTGATGATTTTCCAGTTAATTATATTTTCTTCTTAAAACTCACAACAGCAAGCCAAAGAGAAGGAGATTGAAGAGAACATCAAGTTTTTTAAGGATGTCTTTGACAGAAGCAATGCGGCGCTACTTGAGCTCACAGAGGAAAAGCATAAAGAAACTGAGAGACGAGGAAAAGAGCTCATCAGAGAGCTAAATGAAGAGATCGTGGAGCTAAAGAGAAGACAAACTGAACTGGAGCAACTCTCACATCCAATGGATTTTACACAAGTCCGTCTTTCTCACCAAACCATGGTAAGAAACAATGCCACTTGTACACTTGGCTTAAGGGCCTTTTCCCCTCTGTTGTAGATTATTAGCCTCTTGCGCAACCCCATATATACCAAAAGCTCAAAAAACATCAGCATCAGCGCTCTTGAACCTGGAGATATTCTGAGGAAGACCATATCACATCTTCAGAGTGTGCTGGATGAGAAAATGAGAGAAACTGGTAAACGTTCACCATGTAACCAATCATATTTACACCATCATACACTCTTTAATCAGACGGAAACACATTTTTTCATTCTTGTTGTAGTTGGCAGAGAGCTGCGGAGTATACAACATTATGCAGGTATGGAAAATCTGACTACTAAAAGTTACATTTAGTACATAAAAAATTAACAGTTAAACTGTTACTGTTACTAAACTGTTACTAAACTTTTTGCTTAAGGGTAAAAAGACGTTTGAAATACATGGAGAAACAGCAGTTAAGAATGATTCTGATTATAATGACAGGCATATGTTTGCACCAGCTCTATAATTCAAAACTCCAGTGAAGTCATGTCACATTTATTTATAGCCTAGCATTTTATACAATAGACTCTGTCAGTGTCACTTTCCATTAGAATTACAACTTCAGTTTATACTACAAAGCAGCTCTATAGTGTGATTACGGACAGAACAGAAGAAATGAACTGAAGAAGAATTCCACTCTTCCAGAATTGGCAGGCTGTTTCGAACTCCTGAAACGAATGCCAAATTAACTTGGTTTTGGCCTGACGACATCACACCAGTTCATTCTTTGATTTTGCTTGAATTATATGGGGCCTTAAACTTTACTATCAGAAAAGAAAATAATCCATTATACTGATTTGTTGTAATGTAGCACCAAATAAAGTTTTCTCGAATAAAAGTGAAATACTGACTTGGCTAAAAGTTTACATTAACTTTTATATCATTTTTCAGTGGATGTGACACTTGACCCTGACACAGCTCATCCTGAACTCATGCTGTCTGACGATGGGAAAAAGGTCTGGAATACAGTCAAGTCACAGAAGACTCCTGACACCCCAAAAAGGTTTAATTATTGCTCATGTGTCTTAGGAAAGGAAGGGTTTTCCTCACAGAAATTTTACTACGAGGTTCAAGTCAGTGGGATGGAGTGGGATTTAGGTGTGGCAAAAGAATCCATAGACAGAAAAGGGGATATTGGGCTTAACCCTGAGAATGGATATTGGACTATATGGCTGAGGAACAGGGATGAGTATGCAGCGAATGATCGCACCCCTGTCCCTCTCACCTTGAAAGAGAAGCCAGTGAAAGTGGGAGTATTTGTGGATTTTGAGGGGGGTTTGATCTCGTTTTATGATGTTGAAGCCAGGTATCATATCTATTCTTTCACTGGGCAGTCTTTTCCTGAAAATCTCTATCCATATTTCAGTCCTGGAGAATGTAAGAAAGGGCAGAACTCACATCCTCTGATCATTACACCTGTTGACTCAGTCGAATAAATCAACTTTTAAAGGAACTATTACTGTAAAATGAATTGGTATACAAAAGTCTTTGTATAGTCTTAACCCTCTCAAAGCTATATGATGTTAATTGCAAATATGACCATACTTTATTTCTTCTCTAAATTTAACAATTAATGATAATTAATCAAAAGAATAAGTTCATTCTTTTTAAAAATATTTATTTCTAGTGTTTGTTACATTGTTTGAATTTGAATGTATTTGTTGGACGCAGATAAGGATAAAAATGATTGTGTATAACAGTGTAAGATTACAGATTTAAAACAAATAAATATGTGGTTAAAGCATTAGATTCATTTAGTTTCATTTATGTTGTTTATTTTCAATTGCATTTTTTTTTTAATTTTCAGAAAGAGCTTTATTGTTCATTTTAATATCAGCATTCTTCAAGAACTTAATTTGTCTATCAAAATTTTTTTTTTAATTATGTACAAAAATAGCATGGAAAATAAAAAGCTTTACTAACTCAAATCATTTCAAAAATATGTAAGTGAAAACTAAAAATTTGATAACAAGAAAATTCAAAGGAAATCAAAAGGAAATTCAAAATATTCAGTGATTCAGCACCTTCCAGAAGATTTCATCTTCTCTTATGTGCACTCAGTTTCTTATCAGTTATTTTGTCTGCAAGACTCAAGACGTTTGATCTCTTTTTTAACATCTTCAATGTTTCATGGATTTTTGTCTTCTTAAGAACTTTTTCCTTCTAGTACAACGCTTTAATTGTCTTTTTGAAATTGCAGTATACTCTGATGTCACTATCTTGCTGAGATTTTCAAGCAGTTCTGGGGTGTTATTGTGGCCATTAGTGATGTCAATGACATGGTACCTGTTCTGACAGCTGCTGACCACTTTACAGAGTTTGCTGCCTTTGGAAATAAATGTGCTAATGGTTTGCCCAAGTTTTTTAAGCTCTCTGCCATTTGTGAAGATAATCATCATATGTTTTGTTGTTCCTGAATCTAGTCGTTTTCTGAAGGCATGGAAAAGACCTTGTTGTTGTTCACTAAATTTACATATTGGTGTGACCCAGAGAATCACATTGGGGCCAGGGTCACATAACTCAATGCATCTTTCCATTTCATGGCTCCAGCTCAGTTCATCGAGGGAAAAGAGATTTGGAGTGTCCACTACAGTGATCTTTTCCACTGTCTTTGCCATGGATTCTTTGGTCACAGTCTCCGATCCACTTTCAGAAGTAAAGTAATTTCCACCAAGGATGATGTTGCCTACTGCACTTTTCCCAGCTCTGGAAGGCCCTATTAGAAGGATCCTCATCGGATGTGGAACGCTGCCAGGGCTCAACACCGCTGTTTTGAACAACACATAAACATAAACTAAACACATTTTAAAGTGTATTTTTAGAGCCTTTTTTTGTCTCTGAAATAGCAACATGTTGAAAGAGTTGGAGTTAGTGTATTTCACCTTTACCTTTTCTGTACATCAGCATGTATGGTAGGTGTGAGCTGTCAAAGAAAAAAGAAAATACTTTTTTACTAAATACTACTTCCAAGAAACAACTACTTCACATTCTTCACACGAGAGAGAGAGAACAACACTCACTTTTTCAGTGATGCTTCTGAAGTCTGTAAAAAATTGATGTGAATATTAAAAAATAAAATGTACAGTTTGAGTCATATAAATTTGCTATATGCAATAATGCTAATCAAACAAACAAACAAATGTACCTGTGTTACGGTGTAGTCATCAAAACGGTACCATATTCCATTTTCATAAGATCTGATGATTGCATCGTAGTGTCCACCAGTGTAGCCACCCTTATGGTTGATAACAGCATAAAGATCATATTTAGACCTATTATCCTGCAGAGAAAGATAAGGGTTTTTAAATGTTTAGACTATTTTATATTGATTTTAAATAGCAATTTTCCTTTGGTATGATAATTGATTAATGATACCCCATTTTGTAGACTTGGAGGTACATTCAGACAACATTCATTCTTCTTGTATCTCATCCATATGTAATCAAAGTCAAACCTCTTCAGATGCAGAGTTAAAACAGTGGGATATTCATCTATTTCACTCCACTGCAAGTTGGAAAATTGCAAGGAAAAAAGAAAAAGCGCATGTTAAGCACATGTTGCAAACTGATATATACTTCCCTTTTTTGATAGGTTCATAGATCGATCATCTGTATAGGTGATGATGGATGTTGATAATCTCACATTTTCATTTACTCACAGTTTCTGTTTCTGTTTTTTGGTCACATTTATCACAGTACATCCAGTCATCCTCTTCAAGTTTCGAATGTTTAAAGAAGGTTTCCAGACCATTTTCCTATAGGTTCACCATGAAAAAAAATATAAAAAATACACCATGCAGTTTTAGAGGGACGCTACTGTAAGCAATGCCCAGTCTCCAAGAACAAAAAACTTGGCTAACATAAACTTTGTTTTGCATATGATGGGAATAGTCTTCCTACCACATCATATGTCTCATCATTTCCAACATCAATAGAAAGAAGTATTGAGATGAAGGTGTTGGTTTCTTTGGTTTCCTTGCTACATTTACAGCATTTTGTTATGTTGCTCATTTTCCCTTCAAAGACCTGGAACAAATGGACTGTGCTGTTGGTGTGCGAGTCAGTTTTGATACATAGGCTACTTCTTAATGTTATTGTGTATTCATAAGCCATCAATGATAATAACAGAGAATTATTTACAGTCAGTTGTTTAATCTCACTCAAATCAAAACACATTTAATACCTTAGAGGCATGTGTCCCCATTGCTTTCAAAATCTTCCGATAATACTCCACTGCATCTTGTTGCTCAAAAACTTGAAGATTAAAATAAATAAATAAATAAATAAATATACATACATACACACACACACACACACACATATATATATATATATATATATATATATATGTATATGAAAACAGTCTTCTAAAATGTATGTAAATCATTTCATCAAACAAATGCAATTTTGTGGAAATTAAAAAAAAAATTGTTTTACTCATGAACCTTAACCTATTCTGTTAAATGAAACTGTTATTCAAATTTTGGCTAATTTCAGTATCAATATTTGTTATTTAACACGGGCCAACAGTGTTGACTTGAAAATTAAATGAACCCACCATTTCTTACTCCAAGACTCTTTGTTATTCCTTCAGTTGTGGCTGCTTTTTCTGACAGCTGTTCAAACAGCTTCTTAAGTTGTAGCAAGAGATTTTCCTCACCGCAATCTCCAGGGGCTTCATAACTAAAATAATCAGGGAAAATGAAAAATAAAAAGGTAGTCAAGAAAAAAGTTGAATGGCAGTAAGTAATTGTAGCATTAGTCTTAATCACAATAGTCATAAAAACGTTTTAAGGTTATTTATTCATTAGTTTTACCTCACCACTGCTTCTCTGAATTTTGGGGTCATGAATAGACATTGCAATACTGCATTTAAGTAGCAGGTGGCACCTTGATTTTTCAGGCCGTTATATTGGACTTCGTTCCTGAATACAGAAGTAACACACGTAAATCCATTAGTCCAATGCATGCGCTCGACATTCCTCAAAGTGTCCTCAAATACATAGGCAAGGTATTTCGCATAAATCAACAGACAGCCTAATAAGCAGACCACATAATAAGCAGAAAGTAGCCTTGATCTTTCGACAGTTACTTTGAACACTGATTATCTAGGCTGTGGTTATGTTTTAAGAAGTCAACCCACCTGTTGGGAGATTTAGGCCTACGTTTCTCGGCTGTGAGAGTTCCTGGATTCTTCATGCTGTAAGGAGCGGACAGCTGATTTGTATAGGAGGCTTTTGTAAACGTGTCTGTAAGGCAAACCGGTTTTGCACTTGTCTTTTGGTTGACATGTGTATGAATAAACACATTCTGAGACTAATTTTAAATGCATAATTTAAAGGCTACTAAATTCAATTAAGCTGAGTGGGATCCAACAATTAGCGAGTTTATTACAAGGAAAAAAAACTAAAAGTGAATTAGCCTAAATTCCTTAAATATTAATTAAAAGACTAATATTCGAATATGCATCGAATATTTGAGCCCGGTCTCATGAAAATGCGTATAAATAGTACGCCAAATAAAAACGAAAACTCGTGGTATTGATACGCAAAAATGGACTTTGGCGTGCATATGATACGCATGTGTTTGGCGTGCATATAATACGCAGTTTTCGCGTGCATATATGATACGAAATTTGTTGGCGTGCATACGCAGTTTTCGCGTACATATGATACGCATCTACCCCACAACCCTAAACCTACCTATCGCGTAGCCTATACACGCGAAAGTCTATTTTGGCGTATCAATACCACGAGTTTTCGTTTTTATTTGGCGTACTATTTATACGCACTTTCATGAGTTCGGGTTGAATATTTTGCATCAGAATTTACCTCAGCTGAAAGTCGTCCTTTCTTCTGGTAGGCTACACGGAGGAAATTCGTAGAGGACAAAGCAGTCTATTGCCTATTAATTACCTCGGTTTCAAACTAATATATTAACACGTCCAACTTCGCCAGGCAACTGAGAAGTTATAGTTTTACTTTCGAATTCGCGTGTTGAAATCGCGACGGAAACTGCCAAGTGGACAGAACTTATGCAAAGAACATCATTTAAAATTGATCATTTTACTTGTAGCCTAGGCTATTTCACATTTTATTAGGAAATCATTCATAAACAGTTAATATTCATTTATAGGCAACATTTGTCAAAGAAGTAACAATCATAAGTCATAATTCTTAAAATCAAAGACTAGCCTATTTATCAATACAATTCCTGAGAAGGGATTCAGAGTGCTCTGATTATCCCCGATGTGAGGTGACAGACATTTACAATAGCCCACAGTTCACACACTCATAATATCCTAATACAATAGCTAGCAACACATTGATTCATTAGTCAATAAATGTAGAAGTGTCTGTGTGTTTAAAATGTTGTCTTGTCGACGAGATCCTTGAGGTGCGTGGACTTGATTCCGACAGGGACTCAAATTCTTAGCATGTTTGGAAACCTCCGGGTAGACGTAAGACCATGAAGAGAGTGGAGCGATCCTTAATTTGGTGGTCTAAAAACGTGTCATTGTCTTCTAGTTGTTTAT